TTCCTTCCCTATAAAATGGCAATAACAGCACTGTGATTATTCTTAGAGTTGTGTGGATTACTCAAGGGGCAAGAGAAGCTCTGTAAAGTACTTCATAGTACTTGGCACATCACAGGCACTCAACAAGCATTAGCTATTAAGATTTTAAGTTACATTTCAAAATATGGTACTATTCCCATCAATGAAATAAAGAGCTAAATGTATTACTTTAAGAATTCTATCTTGAAACCAGGTGGTGTGGCTCAGTGGTTGAGCATCGACCTATGAATCAGGAGGTCACGGTTCGAACCAGGAGGTCACCTATGAACCAGGCATGGTCAGGGCACATGCCTGGGTTGTGGGTTTGATCCCGTGTGGGGCATGCAGGAGGCAGCGGATCAATGATTCTTTATCATCATTGATGTTTATCTCTCTCTCCCTCTCCCTTCCTCTCTGAAATCAATAAAAAATATCCTATATAATAAAAGGTTAATATGCAAATCAACTGAAAGGTAGAACAACTGGTCACTATGATGTGCACTGACCACCAGGGGGGAGACGCTCAATGCAGAAGCTGCCCCCTGGTGGTCAGTGAGCTACCACAGGGGGAGCAATGCTCAGCCAGAAGCCAGGCTCACGGCTGGCAAGTGCAGCGGCAGTGGCAGGAGCCTCTCCTGCCTCTGTGGCAGCACTGAGGGTGTCGTGAGGAGCTGGCCTAAGCCATCAATTGGACATCCCCTGAGGGTTTCCAGACGGTGAGAGGGTGCAGGCTGGGCTGAGGGACTCCCCCCCTCCCCCGAGTGCACAAATTTCATGCACCTAGTATTTAAAAAAATAATAATTCTATCTTGCCCTAGCCAGTTTGGCTCAGTGGATAGAGTGTCAGCCTGCAGACTGAAGGGTCCCAGGTCCAATTCTGGTCAAGGGCACATGCCTGGGATAATGGGCTCAGTCCTTACCAGGTAGCTGATCAATGATTCTCTCTCATCATTGATGTTTCTATCTCTCCCTCTCCCTTCCTCTCTGAAATCAATTTAAAAAATAAAGAATTCTATCTTGAAAAGTTCATGGAGGCCATGTACATCATTCCTGCTTTCTGAAAAATACGATGTGTAAATAAACAGAAACAACGAATGGGTTACAGTTACTAGTAACTAAACACACAAGAAAAGGAATTTGGAGTTAAGGGATTCCGAATCACAAGACCTGAATTCCAGTCTTTGGTAAGCCATTCATTCATTCATTCATTCATTCGTTCAACAAATACTGAGCACCAAGTGGTTGGGGATACAGCAAGGAGCATATATTCTAGTAACGGGAAAACAGGCAACAGGCCAAGTATACAAAAAAAGTTCATCCCATCGTTGGGGATACAGCAAGGAGCATATATTCTAGTAACGGAAAACAGGCAACAGGCCAAGTATACAAAAAAAGCATACCGATTAATGCAAACCTAGAGCAAGTTCACTTTCAATGCTTTTTTTTTTGTAAACCGGAGTTGCAGAGTGCTCCCCCACTGGCGGGTTACTGAGGATAAATTAAGGACAGGAAGGGAGGTGGCCTAGAGAAAGCCGCTCTACAAATGCCCACTGTCATCGTTAAGAAGTGAGCACCTGCCCTGTGGCCCGTGTGACTCAGTTGGTAGAGCACCGTCCATGCATCCACAGGTTTCTGGTTCCGGTTTGATTGCCCGTCAGGGCACAGACAGGGTTGCCGGCTCATCCCAGGTTGGGGGAGGGGGGGGCGTGTTTCTCTCTCACATAGATGTTCTCTCTCTCTCTCTCTCTCATTCTCTCTTAAAAAAGAAGTGAGCACCTGGTCCCACCACTGGTCTTAACGCCTGGGTTGGACAACAGGTTTCTTTTGAGATAAGGAAACGGGATATGACACTCCATCCCTCCGGTTTCCCTTGTTTTAAATCTGAAGCGGAAACCGCGCCCTAAAGGCCACCCAAGTTCGGCCAAAATGCACGCCGTGCCCGAGGTCTGCTTGCCCGTGGTGCCCAGGCCGCTCACCTGGCGCCCGGCGAGGAAGGGCACTGTAGGGTTCATAGGTGTTTCCTCCGCCCCCGGAGAAAGTCGCTGTGCGCAGCGTCACCTTGGAAACGCCATAGCGCGTCTGCCCGCAGCGGTGGGGGTGGGGGTGGGGAGCCCAGAGCCCGGGAGCCCCGCGC